AAGCTTTTCATTGAAAACATAGTTTTCTATGTGTATTGTCTATATAAATTAATAGACATAGAAATTATCTATAATTTTTAATATTAGAACTGCTTTTAACATTTTTGCTTAGTGAACATCCTAATTAATATGGTCAAATTGATTTCCTTGAAACGCTTACTAGAATTCATGTGGAAACGGTCAAAAGATCCATGTTCGCTTGAATTTATCACCCTAGCTTATCAGTTATAGTACAATGTTTTTCTCTTACAATAAATCAGCTTCAGCCGACTTATAAATCGTAGAAACCATCGGTCGAACAGCCGGCCGACGGCGCAGCACCAGCCACCATCAACCAAGATGTTCGTTTAGTGCGGGTCGGGGATGAGACCGGGCATGACCAAGACGTGCAGCGATCGTCGCTGGCTGCATGGCACTGGATGGATTCATCAGCAGGTCGCGTCGGGTCCCTATCCGGCCATCCGGAAGAAAATTTTCTTTTACAATAGGATACCACCCACTATATAAGTTGACAGCGACGCATCTTTACAGACGAGTCGTCTCTTGTATTGTACATCATTTGGCTAGGATAGGATAGTACTCCTATAAAACAACAGCCCCCCCGGATGCAGAATTACCGAGTCAAGCCACGAGCCCACGACCCGAGCGTCTGTTTGTGTGTGGTCAAGCAAAAAGGTTCTTGCCAAGTTAACTTTAGACTTCGGTTTGGGATTTAGCTTTGCTGACAGAGCAACCTAATCGTGATGTTATCACACTGTTTGGTTCAGAAACTGTAACGCAAATGTTAACGTAATAAAAAAACACAGGTAACGTTAAGAAAGAAACAGATCACTTGATTTGTTTGTTTTCTCCACGGTAACGGAAATGGAAAGGGAAGATCTCAAGCGGGGCCCACATTAGCCTACGTCCATTCTATTCCATTCATGAATGCATGCGCGTTGCGCGCGGCATCTGCTTGCTTGAATGCGCCTCGTCAAGATGTGGAGCGGAGCGGACGCGCCACAGGTATCGATTCGCGCTCTTACAGCAGGGGTAACAATTTCCTATAGGGTGGTACTGATTACGGCGTGATTGGATTACGGTTGGACCGAAACAAACACGATCACACGTTATCTATTACCGACGTAATCGGATGACGTTACAAATCCGTGAACCAAACAGCTCGTATATTATTTGGCGCGTGTCTTCCTCGAATCTGACCATGGCGCTCTCGTTGTCGGTTAGTGTTTGAGAATTTTTTAGGCGACTGAGGGTGGGCATTGATGGTCAGCGAGGAAAGGGAAGATGTGAAGTGGGAAGCAAGGAGGTGTTTCGTAGGACAAGGAAGGTGCGTGGCTTGTGTAGCCCACAAGCAACAAGGGATGGTTAGTGAAGGTGGTTGTATTTCCCGTCGGTTTGCACATACGAGGGGTGCAGGCTTAATTTTTTAGAGCGACCAAATCTTAGGGGAAGGTTTGGGGAGCTGTTGGACCGGTGTTTTTTTCTCTCCTAATCACGCTAATTTTAGTTTTGGGAATATTATTAGCCTTCTCTGGGAGATACTCTAATAGTTAGTAATTAACGAATAGCTCATAACTAATATTAGCTAGCCAACTATTAACTATAATTAGCTGGTATGATATAATTAGTGAGATAGTTGTTAATTGAGTATCAAACTAATAATTAACTAGTCTATGAGCTGGATTCGTATGATCCAAAAGAGTTAATTATTAGCAGTTAGCTATTAGTTCTATAGATCAAACGGGGTCCAAGTCTTTGGTTTGGCGTGACGTGTCTATCAATAGCAAAAGGTCTATGGTGGCTTTGTTAAAAATATTGAGATATGTCATCCAGTCTCTCGGAGGAGGCGTTTGTGGGATAGAGTACAGTGTCAACACGTATGTATGTAAGTGTAGGGACACATTATTCATGTGTATATATGTGTGTATGCGTTTTGGGGTTTAAAAAGACAAAAAAAAAAGAATGCCAAGTCTTACAATATATTAGATCTAAGCAAAAGAGGCTTGTAGGGGACCAAATACTAGGGTATCCAAAGAGGAAGAGCTAATAACCGTCAAACGTTGATGTTTCCGAACAGACAAAAACACGACTACACCTCTTGTCAAACGACCGAGGATTAACTCTGTCTCATCCGACCCCCAGAAGGTTGGCTCCGCTTCGCCCGACCCCTAAGGACTGGCTCCGCCTCGCCCGACCCCCGAGGGCTGGCTCCGTCTCGCCCGACTTCCGCGGGCTAACTCCGCCTCGCCTGATGTCCGGGGGCAGACTCCGCCTCACCCGACGTCTGAGGGCTAGCTCCACCTTGCCCGACCCCTAAGGACTGGCTCCGTCTCGCCCGATGTCTGAGGGCAGACTCCGCCTCGCCCGACGTCCACGGGCTGGCTCCGCCTCGCCCGACGTCTAGCGGCAAACTCCGCCTCGCCCAACGTCTGAGGGCTGGCTCCGCCTCGCCCGACGTCTGAGGGCTGGCTCCGCCTCGCCCGACCCCCGAGGGCTGGCTCCGCCTCGCCCGACGTCCGGGGGTAGACTCCGCCTCGCTCGACGTTCGGGGGCTGCTCCTTCATAACTGCGCGCGCAGACAAGACGGGGCACTCAAGTCAACCGCAATATCGAGGACCATACCCTGCACGTCTACAGGAAAGTACCATCAGGATATGACAAGACGGGCGCTTTAAGCCTTTCTAGGCATGTCAGAGCCCGAACAGTGTTGTGGGCGCCGACATTTGTCTTACAGTATTATGGGCGCCGGCATTTGCCCTCGGGCACAAATCCTGACGGAAGCATACGACAACCATTACGGTCCAGGAGGAAACTCACATCATCTACAGTAACGGGCATGGGGTCGCCACGCCGTCTGCCCCCGTAGGGTCACTTTTCGACACCCTGGTCCGTCGCACCGCCCGCCGGGACGGGATGGGATGTGACCACTTGCTGAACAAAGCCAGGGCACGACCCTATCAGAATCAGTGGACATGCTATCCCTGGCACCCTCTGCCATGTCAGCGGGACTCGCTCAGAGGAAAAGAAAGACCCGGCATCTTTGAAGGGCTTCCTTGGCCTTTGGTTTTCTCTTTTCTCCCATCTGTAATCCCTGCTCTCCCTTGGCTTATAAAAGGGGAAGCAGGGCACCCCACTAAGGGGACGGATCAATAGAACACACCACGCATCATATAACATACAGCTGAGCAGCAACCAAGCTCTTAGCGTCTTTTCAACCTTTCCATCAGAAACTTGGGACCTGTCCCTCTCTCGCCCGTTTGTAATCCCTAATACGAACCTTTCAGTGCTAATAACACTAGCAGCAGCCGCACACTGGACGTAGGGACATTCTGCCCGAACCAGTATAAATCTTGTGTCTTTTAGCACACCATCGGGACCGAACGTGCAATAATACAAATTTACTCGTTGGTGTTTACTCGAAATACCGACAAGGCTTGGGCCACACATGCCACTGGACAGGGCCGACCTGTATGACGAGAAGCAAACCCATGAAAATTTTTCTTGGCCCAAACTTTTTTATTTTAATTATTTTTCAACTAAAAAGAGCGGGTAGACGTTTAGACCTTAGCCCAGCCTGAAATTGATGCCCAACTTTGCCAATTAGAAGTTATTGGGTATTGAAGTTCGGCTTGAAAAATCCTTGTTTGAATTTCTGGCGCGATATGGTCTGCAAAATACTTAGCTCTACTATACTACTATATATATCGCACTTGGCTCAGCCACAATTGGTTTCTACCTTTTGGAAGAGGTCTCTTTCATCCCTAAACTATTGCCATGGTATGTTTTTCTATCTTTGAACTCCAAAACCTACCTTGAACTCCAAAAAAACATCTTACCCTCTCAACTCTCGAAATATTTAAATTGCCTCCCTATTGGTTTAGAAGTGGTTGTCAATGCAATCTCATCATTTTTATAGTTATAAAAGATCCAATAAATATCCGATAAGATTCTTAAACCACGAAAAGAATCTCTAAACTTCTAAAAATATTGGGTAAAAAATATAAATAAAATATTTTAGAGCTCATGAAAATATCTCTAAATCTGGAAGGTTCCAAAATTAGATTTAATTCTTGGAGAATGGAAAATATATCTAGAAAAAACTGGAAGATTCCATAACATTCTAATTGATGTCTAAATGTGTTTTGAAAACTTTCCACAACAAAATATGAGATGCATCTAGCAGAAAGAAAGCATATATTTAATGTTGAATGCATCAATGCTAGTTTAATCTCATGTTTTTGTTGTGGAAGATTTTTTAAAAAAATATGTTTAGACATCGATTATCATGTTTTGTGCATTTTTCTAGTTTTTTTATATTCTTCTCACTTTCTAGACCTAAATCTAACTTTGAACATTTTTAGATAAATTTTATTTAGATTTATCGAGCCCCTGTCTATCTCTAGGTTTTTTATTGATTTTTTTCAGAAGTTTAAAAACACTTTTCATGATTTTATTAAAATCTTATTAGGTATTTACTATTTTTTAATTAAAAGAATACAATCATTTTGATTTTTTAGGGATATACAACCATTGATAACCACTTCTAATCAAAGTTCTAAATTATAAAATATTTTATTTTTTTAGATATATTAATTTTATTTTGTATCTAGACACGGTAGATAGCAAAAATTATGTATTTAGAAAACCAAAACATCTTATAATTTGGAATGGAAAGAGTAAATATAAGAGGTCTGAATTTGAAGTTTGATGAAGAGAAAAAGAAAATAATAGACGAAACGACAATTGAGCAGCGGTCACCAAACAGGACCGAACTGGATCCGATCCATACACTATCAAACACCTGCCCTCTTCAGCCCGCAATTCTCCACAAGGCGGTGTGGGCTGGGCTGCTTCCGTCCCAAGTCAGCGAGTCGCCGAGTCCCCCGTCCCTCCCCGACGCTTCCGGCTTTCCGTGCCCTTTTCCTCCTCTCGCAGCTCGCAGGCGCAACAGATTCCACCCGTTCCTTCGGGTGGCCAGACGAATCGAGGAGGGAGGCAGGATGGCCTCCGACGGCCACCCGCCGGAGCCGGGGAAGAAGGAGGAGGTCGCCTCCACGGCTGCCGGGCCTGGAGCCAACGATCTGGACGACCCGGACCCGCAGTTCATGTGCTGCGTCTGTCTGTGAGTTTGTTGCCGATGCGGCGTCCCCTTTCCCCTCTCTGATTCCTCTCCTCTCGTCGGGATACTGTAGATCGTTTTGTGATTGTGGGGGAGGCTTTGATCCTACGTACGTCGGCAAATTGTTCGTGCTCGTAGCTTGCCCCTAAATTTCTTTACCGGCGATATGCTAGATTGCGTTATTCTTATTCGTTGGGGCAGAGCACGCTGCATTATTATGTTAAATCATTTTGAGATTGATCGTGCCAGGGCCCAGGGCACATTTACCTCCCCATATTCTAAGGTGCCAGCAAAATCTGTAGAATGACTCATTTGCATGTGTTTACATCTACGCAAAACAAATGTCCATTTATGCACCTTGCTCAATTCATATACAACAACAACAACAAAGCCTTTAAGTCCCAAACAAGTTGGGGTAGGCTAGAGTTGAAACCCAGCAGAAGCAATCAAGGTTCAGGCACGTGAATAGCTGTTTTCCAAGCACTCCTATCTAAGGCTAAGTCTTTGGGTATATTTCATCCTTTCAAGTCTCCTTTTATTGCCTCTATCTAAGTCAACTTCGGTCTTCCTCTGCCTCTCTTCACGTTACTATCCTGGCTTAGGATTCCACTACGCACCGGTGCCTCTGGAGGTCTTCGTTGGACATGTCCAAACCATCTCAACCGATGTTAGACAAACTTTTCTTCAATTGGTGCTACCCCTAATCTATTACGTATATCATCGTTCCGAACTCGATCCCTTCTTGTATGACCGTAAATCCAACGCAACATACGCATTTCCGCAACACTTATCTGTTGAACATGTCGTCTCTTCGTAGGCCAACATTCTGCACTATACAACATAGTAGGTCTAATCGCCGTCCTATAAAACTTGCCTTTTAGCTTCTGTGGTACCCTTTTGTCACATAGGACACCAGATGCTTGGCGCCACTTCATCCACCCTGCTTTGATTCTATGGCTAACATCTTCATCAATATCCCCGTCTCTCTGTAGCATTGATCATAAATATCGAAAGGTATCCTTCCTATGCACTACTTGACCTTCCAAACTAATATCTTTCTCCTCCCGAGTAGTAGTACCAAAGTCACATCTCATATACTCAGTTTTAGTTCTACTGAGTCTAAATCTTTGGACTTCAAAGTCTCCCGCCATAACTCCAGTTTCTGATTCACTCATGTCCGGCTTTCATCAACTAGCACTACATCGTCCGCGAAAAGCATACACTAAGGGATGTCCCCTTGTATGTCTCTTATGACCTCATCCATCACTAAGGCAAACAGATAAGGGCTTAAAGCTGACCCTTGATGTAGTCCTATCCTAATCGGGAAGTCATCCGTGTCTCTATCACTTGTTCGAACACTAGTCACAACATTGTACATGTCCTTAATGAGCCCGACGTACTTCATTGGGACTTTATGTTTGTCCAAAGCCCACCACGTAATATTTCTTGGTATTTTATCATAAGCCTTCTCCAAGTCGATAAAAACCATGTGTAGGTCCTTCTTCTTCTCCCTATACCGCTTCATAACTTGTCTTATTAAGAAAATTGCTTCCATTGTTGACCTTCCGGGCATAAAACCAAATTGGTTCATAGAGACCCGCGTTATTGCTCTCAAGCGATGCTCGATAACTCTCTCCCATAGCTTCATAGTATGGCTCATCAACTTAATTCCCCGGTAATTAGTACAACTTTGAATATCCCCTTTATTCTTGTAGATCGGTACCAATATACTTCTCCTCCACTCGTCAGGCATCTTGTTCGATCGAAAAATATGGTTGAACAGTTTGGTTAGCCATACTATAGCTATGTCCCCGAGGCATCTCCACACCTCGATTGAGATACTATCCGGTCCCATCGCTTTACCTCCTTTCATCCTTTTCAACGTCTCTCTGACCTCAGAGTCTTGGATTCTCCGCACAAAGCGCTTATTGGTGTCATCAAAAGAGTCATCCAACTGAAAGGTGGTGTCCGTATTCTCACCATTGAACAGTTTATCAAAATGCTCTTGCCATCGATGTCGGATCTCATCCTCCTTCACCAAGAGATGCTCCCTTTCATCCTTAATGCACTTAACTTGGTTGAAGTCCCTTGTCTTTCTCTCACGAACCCTAGCCATCCTATAAATGTCCTTTTCTCCTTCCTTCGTACCCAAATGTTGGTAAAGATCCTCGTACGCTCTACCCTTTACCACACTTACAGCTCGCTTTGCAGTCTTCTTTGCCACCTTGTACTTCTCTATGTTGTCCACGCTCCTGTCATGGTACAAGCGTCTATAGCATTCTTTCTTCTCCTTAATAGCCCTTTGGACTTCCTCGTTCCACCACCAAGTATCTTTAGCCTCGCCTCCACTTCCTTTGGTTACTCCACACACCTCTGAGGCCACCTTCCGAATGTTGGTTGCCATCTTCTCCCACATGTTGTTTATGTCCTCTTCTTCCTTCCAAGAGCCCTCTTTGATAACCCTTTCCCTGAATACCTCTGACGTCTCCCCTTTCAGTTTCCACCACTTTGTTCTTTCAATCTTAGCTTGTCTATCCCTACGGGCACGCACCTGAAAACGAAAGTCTGCCACCAAAAGCTTATGTTGAGAAACAACACACTCCCCTAGTATCACCTTGCAATCCAAGCATGCTCGTTTGTCCTTTCTCAATTCATATGTATTGCAAAATTGTGTACCTAGGAATATCGTTAACAGAACCTAGCTGCTCTAGTACGTAGTACGCCCTGGCACTTTGGGGGATGCTGGCACCTGAATTTATAGCCAGCAGATCAGTGTCACAATTCGCACTCTCCGGCACGGTTATGGTTCAAGTTGGGGCTTCACTGAAGTCTGGTGGGCCTAGAAAGAGCCAGTGGTGGTAGGCTAGTCCGATTGTGGTAGCGGTTGGTGCATGGAGTGGCAAGGTTGTGGGGGTGCTGCCGACTGTGGGGTGGAGGACCAGCAGCAGGCTGGGTCAGGGAAGGGTGGTTGTTGGATCTGGCCGCAGGAGATGCCAGCAATTAGTAAGGAGGGTGTTGGAGCAATAACTTGCCTGAGGTGCTCACAGGCATTTTGGTGGTGTGGCCGGGAGGGAACAACCTATGAAGAAAATTTTGGGTGTGAGACTGCTTGAAAAACAGCCGAGGGAGTGGGCAAGTGGCAAACTGAATGCATAGGAACAACATAATTCAGTTAGCATGCTTGCAGAACACTATTGAACAGAATGTGGCAAAGCGTTTTCAAAATGATGGCTGAGCATGAATAGGAGGTGAAGCGATTCAGCAACCTCACTGAGTCCTGTGTCTTGTGGAACAACATAATTTTTCATCAACCAATAATATCACAAATGGAACTAATCAAATAGTGGCCTATGCAAACTTAAATAGAATATCTGATGAGTGATTACTCAGCTTGCTATGAGTTGAGTTCATGTGGTGCTAGTGCCTGTTGGGCACCACATCGGCGCCGAGCCTCCACATTGCTGTTTTTGTATCTGTAAACAACATGGTAACACTGAATTCTGTGTATGCATAAAAACACAATCTTGTACCCTTTTTTTTGTTTGTTTGGGATATTTGATTTGCATTCTGCGGGGCTATAATTCTGCACAAATGTACCAATGATCTCATCTGTTTAACCAATCTGTTTTGCAGGGATCTTCTGTTCAAACCAGTTGTTTTATGTAAGAGTTTGTTTTTCATGTTTACAGAAAACAGCTTGACTCTGTCATACTCTTCAAAACTCATTTATCATCTACTGGTGCAGCATGTGGTCATATGTCATGTTTCTGGTGTGTCCACAAAGCTATGCATATTTTCCGAGAATCCCATTGCGCTGTGTGTAGGCAGCCCTATATACACTTTCCGAGTATCTGTCAGCTCTTGCATCATTTGCTTCTAAAGCTTGAAACTACTGATTACAAAAGAAGGGAAAAAGAAGTGCTAGGTGAGTATTCTACACCCTAAAACCAATATGCAAGCATTGCATTTATTTTTTGATATAGGTCAAAACAAAGATAGTTATGCTGGGTAGGAGCATTTCAAGAGCAATATTAACCTTTTGCATGTATGGTGTTCATGTTGGCTTAGGTTGTCTCATTGCTTTACAGCGATTGGTTTGAAGTCTTGTTGCTTTATCCTTATCCAGCCCCCCAATTTTACTAGTTACTCCCTCCGTCCCAAATTATAGGTTGCTTTGGCTTTTTTAGATACACAATTTATGCTATGCGCCTAGATATACATTATGTATGCACACTAAAAACTATGTATCTAAAAAAAGACAAAACGACCTATATTGTTGAACGGTGGGAGTAGTAATGTGCACTTTCATTTTTAGGAATTAACTCTATGTTCACTTTCGAAACACATTTCAGAGGAAGAGAAGCTTTATAGAAACATACTCTCCCCAAATCATTGAGTTTTTGAACTTCAAGAATAATGGTAAGAATTTTGCCATGTAATTACGGTTGTAGTTATCTCCACTTCCATAGTATCTCACAAATCTCAAATAGTATCTCCATTTCCATTACATCTCATAAGTCTTAAATACGATATACCCACTTTCTTTTATTTTTTGTAAGTTGGAAGCGATGGGGAGAACAGAAATGAAGACAGTAAAGCTAGACCTCCACAAGAAGTTTCGTTGAATGGCAGCATTTCGGATGAGCATTCGAAGAAAATTAAGTTGGAGGATGTTTCATGCCCTCTCTGTATGGAGATGCTGTATCAACCTGCCGTTCTTAATTGTGGTCATGGTAAATTCTAGTTTCAGAACTACTACTTAACTTGTTTTGGAGATATTAACTTATGTTGGTTTTGTGATAGTGTATTGTGTATCCTGTTTGTCGTCCTTGAATGAGGAAACACTGAAATGCCATGTTTGTGGAAGTCTTCACCCTGGGGATTTCCCTAATGTTTGCCTGGACCTTGATCATTTCCTGGAAGAATATTTTCCAGCAGAATATGAATCGAGAGGGCAGAAAGTTCAGTTTAAGAAGGATCAGTGCAATCGTGAAGCATCATCTTCAGGTAAGCTTTTGTTACCAAGTTCTATTTCACTTCGCGCATTTTCTCCTATATAACAGGGTAAGATCCCTTGTTAGAAGGAAAAAAGGTCATCTTTGATGGCACTTGCTAGCTGATGGGATACCTCCAGTAACAGTAACTTATATGGAGAGAATAAGGAATCCAAACCATGCATGAGATTGAGTGATACCTTGTATAAAAACTTCACCCGACAGTGTTAAAGATATGCCCTTGCTAGTCCAAGCCAATCTCGTGCCGTTGATTAGACATATACATTTCATATTAAGTTGTTTGCCCTTGATTACCCATGCTAATGGATGGTGACTGTAGTGTCTGCGGTAGAGTCTTACCGCCTGTGACCGGAAGGTCCCGGGTTCGAGTCGCGGTCTCCTCGCATTGCACAGGCGAGGGTAAGGCTTGCCACTGACACCCTTCCCCAGACCCCACACAGAGCGGGAGCTCTCTACACTGGGTACGCCCTTTTTTACTTAAGATGGGCGCCAACAGCAGTGTGGACTCAGTAAAATTGTAGAGCCTGGGCAAATTTGACTATTATGAATGTTTTCTATGAAAACTCTATTTCCAGCGGGTGCGAAGGGCATAGCCTTGTTGACTGAACGGATACTTGGTGTTGCCTAATTGCTTGGCTCGTTGGTCGTTCATCCCTTGTTTGTGTGTGTTTGTGGGTTTGTTGTCTCTGTGTGTGTTTGGAGTATTTGTTTGTTAGTTTGTGTGGGCTTGTTGTGGCCATGTGTGTCGGGGTGTGTTGAGGTTATCTTCGTTGTTTTGGGGTTTTCTTGTTCCCCTTTTTTCCTTCTTAATATAAAAGATACACAACTCCCCTGCGTGTTTGAGGGAAAAAAAACTCTATTTCCAGTCCTTACAATAACACTAAAATTCTATTGTGTGCTCTTCAAGGTACCCGGAAGCTGCTCAGGGTTGGCAGTGGTGAGCACCAGACCCAATGGCAACAGTCATGCTTAGGCCTCAACAGTCATAATTGTCACAAGATTGTCCAAAAAGGCTTCACATCTCCAAATAAAGACAAAAAATAAACTTCAGATTGTAGTTTGTGTAGGAACTAATTGTAATCTTGGGGAATCACTGAACAATGCATGTGGTTGTAGTTATGGTGTAATTTCACTTAGTGCTCCAAAAAAATAGTTTATTGCTCTAGTTTTTGTTGGCTTCTAGCAATAGTGTGATATAAATACCTGACATGGAAATTGTATAGAGTATCTTTGATATGTTTTTTTGTGTAATTTCGCTCTTCTATAAAATATGCATTTTTAATGAATTACTTTACTAACTGTAATACTGTTTTAGTCATTAGACCTTTCCATTTAGGGACGAGTACTAGCATATCAGATCAGATGATGTTAGTTTGTGGATCAAGAGGGATGTAATGTTATTGCTAATTTGCTATGGTATATATTGGTTGAAGTCTTCTAATATTTAAAATTGTGTAGAGCTACTGCAAGAGGTTGTAGAAATACTAATTTACCAACACAAGTCACTAGTTATTAACGGGCCACAGCCACAGTTGAAACTGGGCAGTTGCAGGTTCCACCACCACAGGAGGATGCCGAACCACCTGTTCTGATTACTACTGCTGTAGTCATTGTCTAGGATAACCCTTTTACGGGATTGGGTTTTTGAATCATTTTTAAATAGTTTAGATAAATGCATACAAGGTTAGCTGTTCAACTTTTTTTTCCGTCTTGGTGTAGATATGTTTGTGGTTCATTACATCATGCAATTTGAGATCTTAATTAGGCCTTAAAACTAAGGCATGGAGCACATATTAGGTACCCCTCTCCTTTTTTTGGTAGCTAACTAAAGTGTTTTTTGTGCTGTTTGGATACTTCAGGCAGAAAAGGAAGCACTAGGGCACTGCATGATGAGGACCTGTTAAATATTCACATTTCAGTAGGATGCGACTCATGTGGAGTATGTACAAGTTATAAACGTTTTATCAGTTTTGAGCTTATCAATACTCGTAAAGCATGCACACAAAGCAAAATTTTACTGCTAGATTAGATAGAATGGTTTCTTTGACTTCACAATCGTTCACCTTGAATTGGTCTATAGAAATACAGTTTCATCTTTCTTTTTCTGCAAGTGGCATTCATGCTAGCTGTATTGATGTTACTCGCCAGTTGGAAGACCTTGAGTTGATCATTTATTTCTGTGGAAAGGGTTGATTCAAATCCTCCAGTTCTTTGAGACCAACATACATCATTCAAAGCTACTAATAACTTATATAAGAACAGTCATAATCAGTAACGTGCTGAATGTCTATACCATCATGTGGTATACTGTAGTTATCCTTCAATTTTAGTACCTAAATCCTAAAAGGTTACAGCTATTTATCCAAGTAGCTTCAAAACACGTGTTGTTTTACTGCAGAGACTACTAGTCTTTGTTCTTTGCTTTTTTAGAAGTTCACTAATTATTCCTTTTCTTGGATGCAAAAGACATCTGCCTTTAATTCCGTGAGGCTTCTTAGAGGACCCAAATCTTAACACATTAAGTTTTTGCTAATTGTCTTATAGCTTGTAACCTTTTTCTTTGGCAGAATACAGTTTTTAGCTTTTACTGATGGTAGTTTTTATCCTAGTGCTTGTTCCGTGATGAACTCTATTTCCAATCCTTACAGTAACCTTAATATCAAGTCAGACATGGACAACAATGATAAAACATTTTCACATCATGTATTAAATTATTTTCAGTTTGCTAAGATGAAACCGGTGAACACCATGCAGGTATATCCGATACGTGGTAAGAGATACAAATGCCAGGACTGCACTGAGTTAATTGGGTTTGACCTTTGCGAAGCCTGCTACAACTCCAGTTCAAAGCTCCCAGGACGCTTTAATCAGCGGCACACCCCTGATCATAGAATGGAAGTTGACAATTCATCACTCTTGCGAGGGATACTGAGACAGCATGGCATACCCGAGGAAGGCCTTGAGGGATTGATGATGGAAGAAGCGGTGGTTGCTCCTGCTGCACTGGTGCAGATACCCATTGATCATCAAGGAATGGAGGAGGGCAATGACGAGGGCCCAGGAGAGGCGGCCATTGAAGAACCAGTTGGTGCTCCTGGCGCGATGTTGCATATAGTCATCCATGATCAAGAAATGGAGGGCAACGAGGAGGATCAGGCACTCTAGATGCAAATTGCACAGCTGCAGCGAAGCCTTTGTTTTATGTTGCTGGGGCAGGCTACACGTGTGTGATGTGAAATGGAGGGATTGCACAAGCTTAGGTATGGCTGGATCGGCCTTGTTCATATTCCTGGTTCTCTAGTTACTGCCATCTAAGGGCCATATGATTTTATTTTTCCTGCTTCTGTAAATCCGTGCATGTTTCGAATCAAATTGCAATAAGGATATGCGCCCGGTTCGGCTTACCTTAAAGTCAGCTTGTTTGGCTTCTTTTTTCAGCCGGAACCGTGTTTTTCTCTCACAACAATTTAGACAGAACAGTGTTTTCCAGCCAGTTTCAGTCAAGTTTCAGCAAGCCGAACGGGGCCTTTACGCTTTCGAAGTTCTTTGTGCCAGTTGATTATATATATATATATAGATAGATTATAGTGGTGGCAATGCGGCCCACGACAGTTCGCGGGACAGCCGAGTACACCCTAAAGTATGGTAGGAGGCATAGCCCATTTAAGCATGGCATTTTTTTTAACCTTTTAAGCATGGCATTAGCACGACACGAGCTGGCCCAGTGGTAGTTGTGTCTAGGGATGGCAGTGGGACGGTTTTAGATCAGGGCCCATGAATTTTGGGTCCTGGGACAATTCCGAGTTCGAGGGCCCAAACCTTATCATGTGTGGTGCAGGTTTTGTATTGGAAAAAAGTCTACATTACTCCCCTGACTTTTGCGAAAGTCCGTTTTTTTCTCTCCGAACTTTAAAACTGGGTAAACCACCTCCAGAACTTTTAAAACCGTTCGTTTTATCTCCCTGACCGGTTATAAGCGGTTTTCAAATGCGGTTTTATCTTTTTCTTTTTTATTTATTTCGGCTAAATCTTTAAAAAATCATAGTAAATCACAGAAAAATCATAAAATGGAAAATTCAATTTTGTTGGACTCTATATGAGTAGATTTACACAGTGAACATATAATATGGTATGCTTTGGTACAATTTTTTTGCTGTAGCTTTAGATATATGTTTTTCTATAATTAATTCATATCTGTAGTTTTCATGGTTCAATTGTGGTGAAATTTTTATGGTGAGCTAATTATTATATACTTGAACTGTAGTAAAAATTTCATACTCATTGGATTATGTATAACTTAGTTATATATTTATTTAGGTGTATGTTTGTTAAAAAGTATTTATAAATCTAAAACTAAGTTATACATGATGGAACACCATGGAAACGTCGATGGAACTTGAGGCCCAAAATTCAATTGATGGAAGAAAAAAAGAGGAGCCACATGAGGAGTTCAGTTATCTATTTTATCTTTATTATTTTAGAGCTTTCTATGTCTTACGTTTAGTGAAAACTTGTGCTAGTTAATTCGTTCATGATATCAATCAATTTAATTAGGATCTTGTTCAACGTTCCGGGAACACGTTCCATTAATCGAAGGAACGAGATCAAGCTGTATACCCTCTTCGTCCTATAGACTTAAGAAACAATGTACGCGTTCCGTACCACGATCCCAACGTTCCGGGAACTTGGCTACTATTGGTCTCACCCCTACATGACTCATCCATGTAGCCACCGCCTCCTCTGGTAGTCCTCAGGTGGCGTAGCCAGCAAGGGAGGATGTGCACAGGCTTCGTGGCACACCCAGCAGGGGTAGCGGGTCAGCAGGGCTGCAAGGGATGACACACCATAGAATGACATTGGACGTGCATCCCTTAGGAGGTGGCCGACTGTAACACCCCTGGTGTTACGAGCTCGTTTAGCACCGTGATTTAGGCTTAAGTCAAATTTTCGAAACGAGTTTCTCGGAATTTTTGATTTAAAATATACTTGATGTGATAAGTGAATCCGGTGACCCAGTTTTGTGGACTCAAATAAACGCCTAAGTTAAATTACTCAGTGTATAAAGATATTTAGGAATGTCGAACGACGATTCTAGCGAACGGTTTGTTCTGTTAGAATAAGCATGAAAAGCAACTTTTATAAATAGAATAAAATCTATTAATAAATAGAACGATATATATATATATATAACTCACGGGTTTATTTTGATAAGCACGAACTGACGAGAGAGAGCGCAACAGCTTCGTTTATTTTTCCTAGCGTACAGCATACTCGTTGCATGGCATTTATTACCATCACGTCTCTCGTCGTGGCTCTGCATTGCTCTGCACTACGGCGTGTTCATTTGCCTGCGCCCCTGTCCTTCTCTCCCTTGCTTGCGACGGTCCGATTTTTTTATGTGAGCGCCAGTCGCACCGAGCATTCAAGCAGCAGAAGGTCCTTTTTCTTTTCCCCGCTCTCTCTTGCGCGCCTGCTTTTCAATGCCTCTTGTCTTTCTCTGTCTCACTGCCAGTTCCGTCGCTTCCCCCTATGCCTCTTGGCGTGCTCTCCGCTCTCTGCCTTGCTTGTCGCTGCTGTCGCGGTCTCATCCTTGCCCCTCTGCTGTCTGCCCTGCGTTCGAGTTCAAGTGGAGACCGAGCCTCGCGTTTCTTTTCCCCCTGCCCTCGCCACGTCCTTTCACGTTCTGTGCGCGCAGCTAACGGCCACGCTGCGTCGTCCTTCCCTATCCCCACGTCCATACTCTGGTGGGTGTACTGATGCCTCCTACCCTCGGCTTCTTGAGGACGCTAAACCGTTGCTCGCCTTGCTCACCTCTCTCTCGGGCTCCCCCTCTCGGTGCTCCCTACTCCCTGTCTCACGCGAGCACCCACCTAGGGCCGAGACCGCCGTCCGCCGCCGGTCCATCGCGAGCGCGCACACGGACTCCCTTGGTCCCACGCTAGAGTCACCGCACCCCGCCACGTCCGCCCAGTGTCGGCCCTGCCCCGCGCTAGCGCACGAGCGATGCCCCTCCTCTTCCTTCCCCGCTCTCGGCCAGCACCATGCCGCCTTCCGTCCGAAGCGCTCTCGTCCGCCCGTGGCCCGCTACTCCATGGTGCTGCCCCTCCGGAGCCGCCGTTGCCCCAAGTGCCGTTCCGCTGTGTGCCCCGAGAACGCCGTCACTGGGCCACCATCGTTGCGCCTTCCGCTCCCGTCGCAACTCCGCCTTCATTGCCCAGCGCCACAGCCACGCACAGCTCCGCCTTGCCTCTGTCGAGCACCAAGCACCGCGCGCGAGCGTGCCGCACCACCGCGTGGCCATCCCCGCCGTCGTGCCTTCCTCGGCCCGTCACGTCGTTCCCGTCGCCGGCCGGTGCTCCCCGTCTGCCCTCTGCTTTTGAGGATGAAGAAAAGGGTATGAATCCAAGCAGAAATTTTATACAGGGTCCTTAGTGCGAAATACGTGACTCATACAAATAGTATATGTTGGACTGCGAGTTAGTTTCAAAAGATAGGGGCGTTTTTGCAAAATGGGCCACCGCCGCTAGGTTTTCCGTCGTGGGCCGGCCTGCTCCCACTGGGCCGCCTGGTCGGTAGGCCGCGCGCGCCCCTGTGGGCCGCGCCACGCTACTGGGCTGCCATCGCGCCGTGTCGGGCTGCTTTGTCGCCTGGGCCGGCATGCTTCCGCGTTGCTGGGTTGTTCACGCCCACGCGCTTGGGGCGCCCTGTGCCACCGCGCCTGGGCCACGTGTGCGTAGTTTTCCGCTGGGCCGAATAGGTGGCCGCTGGCCCTTTAAGTTTTCTAAGCAATTGTTAATTTAGTTTCGGAAATAAACTTGTACAATCAATATAAATTTGTATAGTTGTCCAAAAATTGTGAAACCAGTTTTATTGAGTTCTTAAAATCATGCTCCATCCAATAGTGTATTTTGTCCACATAGTTTGATAATAGTCTTGGAAGCTATATAATTAATTTAAAGTACTTAATATTATAAAAATATAAACTTGAAGGAATTATTGTGATAAATTGGTAATTGTGTTGAATCTGAAATTGTTACAGTAGGCTCCTAGCAATATTAGGTACTCATTGTAATTTTTGTGGCTCCAGAATAATCAGTTGTTAGGTAGCTAATGATGCTCTATTTCGAACAAGGATTAAATCGATAGAATAAAATAAAAAAAACAACTTGGTATTGTATAACTAAAACGATTGTTGGAAAATAACGTCTTATTCGACAACATGGATATGTAGCCTAAGTACGGTCGTCATTAGAACTAGCTCGTTAGCTGGTGAGGCATGATCGGGCTTCTAAGCATTCCGGCTGTCGTTGATTATTTACATCTATGCATTTGCATCAATGCATATCATATATGTACGATGATGGATCAACGAATCAATCGAAGGATGATTGTGAATCCGAAGATGGTGTAATGATATTCTCTCCAAGAGATGATGCAATGGGCTTTCTATTCAGTTGATGGTGGATGATCTGAAGATACAGATACTAACTTTTTAATATATATCTTACCCAGGCAAGCCCGGTGCATAACCCCTACTTTTTTGCACTTTAAATTATATTTGTGCATTAAGTTTTCAGGAGTTAAATGAAATCCACTTGCATATATATATATATCTTCATCCTATGAGTCTTACTAGTATTACAGGATCATGTAGAATGCTATGCTACAGGACTCCGGTAGAAGTCGAGTGATTGCCTGTCACTCGCGAGAGATAGGAAATATATTACTGTATTATTATCACTTGGAAAATATAAATGGTGGAAAGGAAAAATGATGACCAGGCAGGGATATGATTTGGGTATTGGTGGGTGTAAGAGGTTGTGTTGCCGCGGATACGGGCATAGCTTGGTTACACTGCTTTCCCTGTTCGTGTCGGTTAAGGACCGGTCGTTGCATAAGACTCTAGGCAAGTCACAGACTTATTATCCCGAGCACATACTTGGGTATGAGCGCTTGGAAGACTTGTTGCTCTCTTGCCATGGATTCGGCTCTTTTCGGACCGACTGTGAGGGTGGTTTTTGGGTTAGGAGGTCCTTGCATCGCACTGAGTCCGGGACTCAGGGGCGGGGGCTTGGAGTCCCAGTTTGGACGAGGACCTGGACACCCAGGACAGGAGGGTGATGGGTTGATACTGCTTGTGCCTTGGGGTACAAGCGGGGCGTGTG